AGTGACCGAACTCCTGGCAGTTGTAACAGCGTATGATCCTAATGTACGGACGGAGAGGACAAGACTCAAAACCCACTAAAAGACGGCCTAGCTTAACTAGGTGTTCTGCTGACTTAGGGTCTATGTCTATCACCCAGTTTTTCCTTCCGCTTTGCCCGGAACGGCTTGCTCGTATTTGAAAAGCACTGGGATTGAAATTGGGCAGTTGGTCTACAAGTGCTGCTGTTAGATCTTCTTTTCCTAGATTCTCAGGTACTCCAAAAATAATTACACTTTCCCTTCTTGGCTTGGGCTCCCGAAATTCAAGTGTCTCTAGTAGTGCTGGCCTGTCCTCGATTGCCTGTTTCAGGCGTAGCAGGTGAGCTTTTTCTCGACACCGGATGAGAAGCTCTCTGGACCTTGTCGGCCGAATCTGCACTAAAGTGATCCCTAGCTGGGAGGGTTTCAAATCTGCCGAAAGTTGAGCTTTAATCCCTTCGGGTGTCCGTGTGGAGTTCTTTGACCTTAATAATAGAACGTGCTCCGATAGAACTGGAGAAGATCTTGAAGGTGGAGAAGTTTTCCGCTTCTTTCGTGTCACCTCAGTGAAGGAATATTCTTTTGTGGACTGTTCTTCTGGGGCTGAGGATTCCACTGCTTGATAAGACTCGGAATGTTGAGGATTCTCGTGAGATGGCTGTAAACTGTGTGCGAGTTGCTGTTGTTGCAGAGCCAAGACTTGTCCCTGTAGCTGGGCGAGATAAACCTCTTGTTCCGTTAACGTTATGCGAACGGTGTTCACAAAAGATGTAAATTGCTTTCTTTCAGAAGCGTTTAGTCTGCGAGATTCCTTTGCTTGTAAGATGAATAACTGGAGTTGGTTACAGATGTGGTTAATTGCTTCCAACCTGGAGTTAGGTGTCGATGTGCTAGCAGCACCTTTAACAGAAGGGGGAGAATGTTGAATATTATGCTCCGTGCCGGCTGGTGATGAGGGAGTATCCGAAGGCATAGTAAGTAAGAGAACACAATGAAGATGCTTTCAGAGCATAAAAAACGAATGATGAGATGAATGATGGATACACATGCACCTGCAATATTCCAGGAATACTCAGTTTACGCGATAGCACTGTAAGGAAAGGTAGCGGAACACAATGAACACACTTCACGACGCTAAACTTGAATGAGGAGATGCACGATCAGATCGCATGCACTTGGGCTAGAGTACTAAGCATGTACCGTAGCAATAATAGATTAGATAGTTGCGAGAACACAATGTGTGCACTTTCACGGCACTAAAGTGGATGAGGTGATGTATAATGAAACCTCATAAGCTAATAGACTTTCTTGTATATTGAGTATGGGCTGTAGCACTATAAGAGGAAATAATATATATATATATATATATATTTGTTTTATATAAAATGTGACGCACACACTTTAACCTTATATACTAAACAGTTCTAAGTAAGCACAGACTGATAATCACGCACACTATTACACAGCACTGAATAATAACAAAATGACTATTAGAACACGATGCACACACTTTCTAGGACTAAACTCGAATGAGAAGATGCGCAATCAAATCACATAAACTGACAGTAAAGTATGCACTATAGCACTATAAGATGAGATAACTGCAAAACACTATACTTTCACAGCACTGAAAATTTGATTAGGAGATGAATGAAGATATCTCACAAATAAATTATCTTGCATAAATATTGAGTTTGCGCTGTAGCACTATGAAAGAAAAGATTAAAAAAAAAAAAAAAAGAAAGAGCAATAACGTATGCACACACTCACGGTAAGCACTGAATAAAAATTACGCGCTCTGTACACTGGAAAAAAAAAAAAAAAAAAAAAAAAGATGAATACTTGAGCACAATACACGCACTTTTCACTGCCCTAAGTAAGTACTGAATAATATTCACACGCACTATATCAAAGCACTGAATAATATGATTAATACTGGAGCTCTTCGTAGCATTAAACTTGAATGAGGAGATGTACAATCAAATCGCATACACTGCCGATAAAGTATGTACCGTACTGCGAGAACACGATGCACAAACTTCCGGTATTAATAATGAATAAGGAGATGTATGGTGAAATTTCAAAAATCTTCTTTACATATATTGAGTATGTGCTATAGCACTAGTTCGGACTGGGGTATGTAAGAGGTAAATACTTCGTAAGCGTTAAAATCTCTTTCAAAATAAGCAATGCACACACTTTCACAGATATGAACTTGGATGAGGAATTGCACTGTAGCACTAATAGAGGAAAATACTGCTTGAGCTGAATGCAAACACGCACTTGGCACGAATGATGTGTAGTACTAATAAAAAAAAAAATCAAATACACTGACAGTCGTAAGATGATTACTACTCTTATGTGGCCAAAGATGGCGGTTGACAATCTTTTCCTTCTTGTTTTGAAAAAAAAAATAAATAAAAGCGAATTTGGAAGGGGTGGATTTAGAGTAGTATTCGATTACAAGCGCACCCCTGCGCTGCCTGTGTCCGAGACTGAGAGGAGGGGAGAATGCTAAAGTTCCTTTTTCTTATCAGCAGAAGGAAGGAGGGTCGGGTAACCGCGTTACTGTGTTAAAGTAACAACGGTCAGGAACACAAGCCGGAACAGTAATACTTAGAAAATTAATTAAATAATCAGTGAATAATGATGAAACTTACACTACTGAAGTCCTAGTGCTTTGCTGTAACTGCAGATACAAAAAAATCTCTTGTAAGGCTGAATATTCCGTTCACCGTGAAGCAAAATGTGGGAGCAAAATTCATACGACCTCTTATCACTGCGTATAGACGCGCTCTAAAGAGACTGCAGAGTAAAACGCTAAATCTAACACATAAAGCTGCGCTGCCAGTCGAGACAAGGAAGCCATTCTGAAATAATGAGGCAATAGTTTGCCTCCGTCATGCAGCCATCCACCATTACGTCAAATGTACAGAAAACATGCCATTTACAGCTCCTGGATGCGTCCAAAATGCATATCGCCTTCACAGGTGGCCTAAAACACATTAATTAACAAATTCGGCTGCACTTTTCTTTCTAGCATACAAATTTTACATGGGATTAATATTAAAGATAATTTGCATGTATTGCATAAATAGCATTAATTTTATTTACCAATGTACACCTAAAATTTTGTTCGAAAATTTAATTTTGCATATCACTGTAATCTGTAGTAATTACTATTCTCATATCAACTCAGTGCTTAAATTGCGCCGGAGCCCACTTCTCAACTTTTAAGACAAATTACAATTCTAGCCGGAGTGCACCAGAGCCCTAAATAAGATGAGTTCCGGCACTTCATTTTATAAAAATGAACCACAATTTAAAGGGAAAAAATTTAGAATTCCTAACGTTTTAGTTTAACAATAAGCAGATCTTGAAATACTCTATTTCCCTAGAAATACGAACTCATGAGAACATGACACGTTCAAGTAAAATGCCCTCACTCACATGCGCAAACCTCAGCGGCCGAGCGGTAAAGACGCTGAACACTGGTAATTCGGTCTGAGGTTCGAATCCCGCGAACGGGCTGGCTGCATGGGCGTTTTCGTGGTTTTCCCCATGTGTAACGTGTATACGAGCCAGTTTCCCTTAGAAAGTCCTCCACGAAAGGCATCCCTCCCTTTAGGCAGATAGCCCTCGTGTGCTTTGCCATAATTAAATACACACACACACACCTTTAAGAAGGGCAATAAATTTTGGGGAATTTGTTTAGGATCGCGTAAATTTCTCGCCATGCCATCGTATCTAGTGTATTGTCATCGATGCTTACAGTTGGTTATCATCGCAGGAAGGAAAATATTTGTTCTTAAATGTGCGTTAAGTGACAGAGAGTACAATTAGAGTAACTTTAATACTGAGTTAAACTGCTCAAGCACGTCCTATACATCGTCTTCTCACAGTATCTACTAATGTAACCAAATACGGTGGGCAAAAAGTGTAACCAGTAACTTTACATTCATCCTTAGGAATCAGATTCAGGACTCAATTTACCTCTGACACACATCTGCTTGATGGCTATAATTATATCAGCAGAGAACCGCGGTCAAAGAGAACGTTCTCACCAAGATTCCCCTCATTTTTTGTTTCCACCAACTCATACCCTCATTCTGTTTCGCCCTAGAATTTTCATCAGCTATTATACTTTAAGTATATTTAATTTTTGTGATGATAAAAGAACGTCTTCCCCCCTACGATCAGACTGGGCCGGAGCCCACAGGATCTCGGCTCCGGAGCTTCTTAGTTTTTGTAATAAATCATAATTCTAGCTGGAACGCACCGGAACCCTGAATAAGAAGGCTGCGGCACTTCTTTTATGTAACTGAATAACAATTTCAATAGAAATTTTATCTCGAAAATTTTATTTTAATAATAAAATTGTATTAAAAATCGCTTATTAAATTTCAATTTATCTCTATATTTTATTTAATTTTAATTATTTAATTACTCAATCAATTATTTCAATAATTAATTAATTATCTAATAATTATCGATTAAATTGTAATTAATTATATAATAATTGTTGATTAAATAACAATTTATAAACATTAATTAAATAGCTATTAATTATTTTGATAATAATTAACTATTTAATTTTAAAATTATTAATGAGTTTAATTGTCATTTTATTTATTTATTTACTCTTGTTCCTCTTTGCTGACTGTCCTTAGGGCTCCGACACTTCTAATCTTAGAAATTAAGCCCTGTATCAACTTCAAAAAAAGTCAGTGTTATTAGAATCAACAATGTATACTTTTTCAATTTTCTTTTTAACGATTTTGCGCATTCGCTGGGTATTGAATATAGTAAATACGTTCTAAATTTATTCCTTCGGTTAATTTCAAAATTGAATTCGTATTTAAATTAACAGCTAAACTATTTTTAAGCATATAAATCCTCGTTTTAAACTCAGACGTTAATAATCCTCAGAAGAAAACTCAAGTATCTAAAACGAAACGGTTACTGAATTAATTAAACATTAATGAAATAAAACTGATTTATTTTAGCTTTATTGTTCTTGTACATCGTTATTCGTTTATAAATAAAAATATCATAGTTAAATTACTAATCTAAATAGTTGCACAAAATAGAGTTTTAAATGGAAAATTTCTTATAGTAGTTTTTCTTATTACGAAATGGCAAAACCGATGAATTTCTCCCTTCATCCACGGAACTACTTCTGAATATCTTTCTTTCGAATAATTCCACCCGTCCTTTAATCGAAAAGCAAGCGTTCCTGTCTTGTCGTTTATTGACATTCCAGGATGTAACAAGTGTATCCAATTCAACCATTCTTTTGTCCTCATATTTCTTGTCGCCTACTAACAGATTTCCAATTAACTGCCTTCGGGATTTGCAGGTACTTTTCTTATACTGGTCAACTGCTGGCCATTTGTCGACAGGCTCCTCCCTGTCTTTCTGGAAGATTTCAATCACTTTCTTCACTGACAAGCATTGTCTTTCTTTCCAGTCTTTACAGTGAAATTTGTTTCCTGTACTCATCGAGCAATCTACAGTTTCAGTTTTCTTTGGAGCCTCATCTGCTGCAATGATACGTTCATTTTGTTTGAACTGACTGTAATATTCGGTAGCAAAGTAACTTGAAGTCATACTAGGTGTTCCTTCTGATAAAGCATTAACATCCTCATCAAAAGACAAACTACTGGACGAAATATTAGCAACTTCTATTTGAGAGGAATTTGGGGGCGGTTTTGAGTTTAAACTACCATAATTAAAATCTGTTTGTGAACTATCTTTTGTTTTCTTGATGCATTTGACATTTAAATTGTTTTCTTCGTTATTATCCATTCGGTAACTGGATAGCTCTGATAACGGTCTCAAAGCTGAATTGTTGTTTTTATCCTTTATATGTTCTGTTTGAGTTTCTGTTCTATCTTTGTTTTTATAAGGTGACGCACTGTATAAATTTGTTGAAAATCCGTTTGTAATAGGAATACTGTAGTCCTCTAAATGATATATTTTGGTTTCTGTTTCAAATTCTTCCCTACTTTTGCTTCTTTGAAAGGAATCGTTAAGGCTGGGTAAAACTTGACTTACCGCATTCTCTTTTGGAATATCTATGAACTGCGTATTATCTGCATCAGAATCATTCAAATTTTCATTTGGATCAGCTAGTCTAGATTCCACACTTGAAAGATTTGTATTTTTAGTATCTTGTTGAATTACATTTTCTGTTTCGGTTCCATCGAAATCAATCAAATCTTCCATGGAGCTTTCACGAATGCTAGGTAATACATCTTTTCCGGAACGCGATAAACGTTTTTTGATTTCTTTAATTTCCCCACCATTTATATTTTCTTTCGTTTCAAAATCACCAATAAAGAGCTCAGGAATTTCGATGTCTGGAGATATTGTGTCATCATCGTTACTAATTTCATCATTTTTTACATTAAACAGACAAAGTGGATCGGTTTTATGACTGCTAAATCCTTTACAGAGTGAAACGTCGACGAAACTGTTTGATTGTGATCTATTGTTCCTATCATCAAAAGAATCGTTAGAAAAACTCTCAAAATTCTGTGTATCTTCTTTTCTGCAATTCGAACTTTTCATCATTAAAGATTCGCCAGCGAAGTTTTCATGTTCGAAATTAATACCTGATGGTGCTGTTATATCATCTGTTACACCTTCGTGATCAATGTAAAAACTTAAGTTATGATCACATTCAAAACGTGATAAATTAGCTTGAATATTTTCCTTACTCTGGTGTGGGAATATAGAGCTCTCGTATGAGTGTTGTAAATGATACAATGAAGTACATTCGTCATTCTTTATATCTTCTTTAGAGCATGCTAACTTGCTCAATTTACTGTTTTCCAGCTTCAGATCTATATCACGTTTCATGTTTCCCATTATGATATGTGACGGCTCAATTTTGGAAGTAGAATTTTCATTTTTGGCAGTTAAATTTTCATGTAGATTTATGTGTTGATCGCTTCTACACTTATCAAATATTTCAATATTATCATTTCTCGGGGTAGAAAATGGAATCTTTGAGCTATCGGTTATATAATAATACTTATCTCTATTTGAATCAACATTTGAAAGTTTTATTCCCGTGGTACTGTTCTTTGCGCCGTTTGTGACAGAAGTGAAATCTAAAGAACTGTCAGTGCAAGCAGATGAAATAATTTCGTTAACGTCATCAAATCCATTAGATAATGAGTGTTTAGTATTTTTATCATCTGCATGTTCAGACGATGTAAGTAATGCGAAATTTTCTTCTGTAACTGCATTCTCGCATTTTTGTTCTATCTTTGGCAAACAATTAAAATGTGTTTCTTTAGACAAAATATTGGCATCAGTTCTTTGGTTGTTCTTCATTCTTAATGAGTCTACTTTCGTATCCGTGATTTCGGATACCTTTCGTTGAGGAACTGCTTCTTGGATTCCTAAATGAGTAACAAACTTTTCTGAATCATTAGAATATTCAGTAGTTATACTTTTATTGAAATCATTAATTTCATTTGAAGATCTGCGTTGTCTTTCAAAATTTGATTCTGAAACTAAAATATCATTCTCTTTTTTAATCTTCGATTCTACAAGCCTTTCACTATTCTGTGTTTTCTTAATATATTGTTGATTCATACTTGATGTAATATCATCACATCTTTCATCTTTGTGCTCTTTTCTTGAGTTTTTTGTTACCTCATCCAATGCAATTTTCTCACCACCATTTATAACAGCAGACGTTTTAACCTTTTGCTCCAAATTTCTTTTTTCACTCTCAAATTTACTGAAGTCTTTCAACAAACCAGTATCATCCTTATTTTTAATATTATGTAAACTACTAACTACCTTGCGAAGTTCATCAAGATTTTCAGCGGTGTGTTCTTTGCCATCTTCAACAACAATATATCGAAGTATTTTTTTCCGTTTGAAAGATCTCTTGTTATCAGAACGTGTTTTCGAGTTTGGATACTCAGTAGGCTCATCACAACAAGGACTGTCACATAGCTTCCAACTTCCTGGTTTATTTTTTGGATGAGAAAGCTCAGTAAGTGGCATATCATCAGAATTTTCAACCTTGATGATATACGGACTGCCTCTTATATGCTGACCCCCGCAAATTACTCTGATGGTGTGTATTCCATTCACAATAGGAATATATTCTGAAAAAGAAAAAAAGTAATTAGCTTTTTAATTTTTTAACCATTTCATTTACGAAACAAAATTTACTTAATTTATGAACAAGACAGTTTATGGTGAAATATTTATGCATAGTAATTTTTTTATTCATAAATTAAGTAAAACTAATTTTGAAGATTCTTTAAGAACTCTTTTTGAAAAGCTGTTAGTGCAGATTTAAGTGTGATACATATCTTCTATCGACTCTACAACATGAAGAGATCTTTACCATATCTAACTAAGCATAAATAGAAATAACGTATTCAGCATCCCTTTGTGAACCACTTCTTTCCTCTGTTCTATAAATCCAATGACTCAGTTATGATAAAGCTGATGATCATTTACAGGGTTGTTCATAATTCCGTAAAACATAATCAGATTAATACTACATAAACTGTGGATAAGATAAAAAAAAAATTATTATACTGGAATAAAGATAGTATAATTTATTATACTGTAATAAAGATAACTGGAATAAAAGTACTCTTTTCATATATTTCACAAATGATCAATGGGCCTACCTTTGTTGATATAGTAAATATCTAAGCATGAATATAAAACTGGTGAACACTGTAACTCAGGTTCGAAGCCGTGCAAAAGGGATATGCATGAGGATTTTCGTGGCTTTTTTCATGCGAAACATTAATACGAACAAGGTTCCCTTAGAAAGTCCCCCACGAAGACTTTCGTCTTTCAAGCAGATAGCCCTCGAATGCTTTGACGTAATATAACCATTTCGTTATATTACGTCAAAGCATTCAAAGCATTCGAGGAGGCCTATTGATCATTTGTGAAATATATGAAAAGAGTACTTTCATTCCAGTTATCTTTATTCCAGTATAATAAATTATACTACCTTTATTCCAGTATAATAAATTTTTTTATCTTATCCACAGTTTTAGGATTTATGATAATACAGAACATCTATGTCTGTATTATGATAAATCATAGTAGAAGAAGGTCTATGAAACATATTAAATATTTATAATAAATAGATTACGCAATCGATATCAAATTTTGTTGCTCTGAAATAGAGATAAGTTTTCTTCATATTCCGAAACAGTGCGTTCAACATTAGTGGTATGGTAGATAGCTATGCGTCATTGGAAGGATTTCGCAGATGAATGAATGCTTTGATTTGTATATCATATAAAATCATAGTATTATACTGAAATACGGTTTTTGCCTCATATTAAAACATGTAAAATCTGATAGGATTAAAATACAAGAAATGTCAATCTTGCTTTTAAGTAACTAAAATTATTCTGTAATACATACTCTGCAAAGTAAATATGTTTAAAATCTTGGATATTTTTCTCTTGAAAATTTACCAAATAAATAAATGGAAATTTTTTTACATACATTTATCGCAAATTTTTCGGGATTCTGAAGCACGCCTAGCGAATCTTAGAACATACTAATATGTTCAGCGATATGGTTTCACGCAGTTGCAATTTACATTGTCATAATTGTCCTTGAGTTCGAATTCTGCTCCTGGTATACCTCCACCATTGCGTTTCCATGTTCTGTGTCGAACCAATATTTGTATGATTTTACTATGTTTTGCATATTTAGTCTTTGAATATTTATACGAGGAGTTTCAAACAAAAGTGATGTTCATACAAGAATTGATGATTTTCATACACCAGTTGAATGATGCTTTCAGTTCCCTCAGTAGCCGAGTGGTTAAGACCACTAAAAGTTGCTAAAAATTCGACGCAGATGATAATCCGCGTCGAACTGTTGTTCTCGTGTCTATGGATTAGCAGTGAGAAGAAGCTGTGATTTAAAACAGGATTCCAGGATCAGACTTTCCCAAAGGATCGGACGACTGTGGGTCAGTGAGTGGTATCATTCAGAGTTTTAATATATCTGCTCAAGTGTTTTTTATTATATTGAAATAATTTAACTTAACCCTGTAGCTTCAACAATTCATCTCTTCCCCCACCGTTAAAGAGTTTATTTTATATGCCGAATACAAACATATACGCAAAACATTTATACTTGCTCTTTTATGAAACAAATGCACTTGAAATGAGACGTATATATACAACATTACATTTAAGTTAAAGAAATCCAGTACACGAAGATGAGTCATTTTTATTGCAGTTACAAAAAACTTTACTTTCTGTATAAATATTAAGCAGAACTAAATTAGATATATTTGATTGATTTAGAATACATAACAGAAGCTTAAAAACAGTTTTGCTACACAAAGAAGATAGACCTGTGTTCGTCTCCCTAAAAATACACTATGTAACACAAAAAGTATGACATACGAAGGACTGAGAAGAAATAGACACACAGATTGAAAATCTGTTTCTAAGTAAGCGATTTGAATTAAAAGGAAAAGATGAATCATAGTGCTTGAATATATAAGGTGATAAATAGAAGGTAGAACGACGTCTTTGGCGATACAAGAAGCGATTCTTCGAGATGCAGCTCAGACACAGTCTTTGGAAGTATGGATGGTGTTATTATTTTCACTATTGTCTCCAATTCGTGCTGCATTAGAGACCGAGATCAGGGCAATAAAACTATGGCTAATAATGTTCCTGAGATGCTATCGACTGACGAAATATTTGGAAACTGCCATGGCCGAAGAAGCAAATTATACCTTTATCGGTTTACCTTGAAAAATTACCATTCTTATATTCGCTGAGCTTGGCTAAACGTTATTCTACTAAAACGCAAATGCGATAATCCTACGTTTAGAGTATCTCACACGCTGAAGTATCTTAGTCAGCGTGTCGCCGTTGTACCTGTTATGCAAAATTGAGGATATTTTCTTGATGGCTATTGATACTAACGTTACCGCAAACCATGATGCCAAGCTGATAAACAGTATTGCGTTCGACAATAACAGCAGGACCCGATTTGTCTCCGTCTCACGTCCAGGTTGTCAGTTGGTGACCATTATTTAGTAAGCCCGAAACAACGTTCATTATTAAACACTATTTTATGCCTTTTGTTACACCAAAAAGGTCGTTATTGACATCACTGTAATCTTATTTTACGCCATATACCGGTAAAAACTTCGAGAAACTATTCTTTTTAATATTGGAGCTTCTATAGTTCCATTCAGATTCTGTAGTAATGGACTGTATGCTATTGCATATCTTCGGACGTATCGTTCTGAGAATTTTGACGTTTGTCTGGGTGCCCTTGTAGCCCTATAACAATCCACGTCCCTTTCTTTAATTTGTCGTCTCCCAATTCTAAGCGCAGTTGATAATGTTGGTGGGTTTCGGCTACGAAACGACAATATTATTAACTTTCACTACGTAGGTCTAAACTGAAATCCCTTGTTAAATCGTCAGATAGACAAAATTACTTTCCATAACGTCTTCCAGACTCCGCTTTGATTTAGGGATTATTCCATGTAGCCAGGGTCGGCTCCAAATAAAGTTATCGCTTAATAAGCCATCTAAGGTGGCAGCATAGACCACAATTAAATAAAGGTATAATTTGCTTTGAATTATTTGTCTGTTTAATTTACCTCGTAGTGATCGCCTAGGCATCCCAAAATATTGGAGCCAAGCCTACATTGAATAAAATGAATTTTAGATATTTTCATAAATCATGGACCTTGGTATTTGTTGTAATTTGTAAATGCTGACGCAAATCTTTATGGTGCTGCATATTCTCTGTCAGGTAGCGTATATTGAATTTTTCTCTAAAAGCAGTACCATTCCCAGATTAAACTTTGTCTAATTTTAAAGCTCAGAAACTGTCGGAAAATTATTAAATTCTTAGTAATATATTAATATTGTAATATAAAAAAAAGAAATACAATTTTTAAAAAAATATAAGGAAGTACCAATAATTGAAAGTATGTGCTGATTTTTCATTCAAGTTCTTTCAATAAAACAAAAGACAGAAAAAAATAGCAGATATACAAGATCCATCTTCCCCCCCCCGAAAGAGAAGCTGACTGAAAGTCCCTGTATTAAATGAATACTGCAAATGGTTTTGCAACAAAATGTTTGAACGCAATTTTGCTACTTCCCAAAAGAAAATATAATGCTTCCATTGAATATGAATATAACTTACCCACTGAAATCTTTTTCTCTAATATCTCATATTCCAAAGGAATTTTCTTTTTCAATATTTCTCTCTGGATAGAAGGATCTTCTATGTCTGCGAAATCTTCCAATGAATCGCTTCTACACGGAAGGGGATCGTTCTTGAATCTTTTGCTGCAAACTGTATGGTTCGGACCACAAATTTCTATGACCATATCCAAATTGTCTGTCGAATCCATCATGATGTTGAAACAAGCTCTCTGTCCTTTTACGGCAAATAGAAGACCCAGTCCTTTCGCAACATATGTCTTGTCTTCAGATAAAAGAGTTAAAAAATTCACTGTTTTTAGATAGGCTGGCCTAATTGGTACTGGATTGGATTTTTCAAATGCCATCTTAATTTGTGCAATCAAAAGCAACATCTTGTTTTCGGCTTGTTTTCCGCCTTTTGAAATTTCCTCCGCTGATACTTCCTAGGAGATAAAACACTGATAAAGAGTCAAGGGAACGAAAATATTAAGGAAAATGTTAGATGTAAAACTATGTATTATAAAAGTCCATATAATTTTGTAGGTATAAAACGTGGGTCATTATTTATTCTTTCGCAAGCTTAATCAATCAACTCTTTTCTGTGTAGCCCCATCTTCATCCCAATGCATTCTTTCGGACAAGGGGTTCAGTGTTCGTAACACTCGTGAGAATTGGTTTAATTCCAACTGTTTCTGCATTGTTTTGATCCCAATATCCTGATCCCTTCATCCAAGTGCAAAAATCTTGATTTTTATAACATATTATACCCTGCGTACATAAATATCGATATCTCACATACGGGATTCTTGATTACCGATACTAATACACACTGGTGTGCAAAAATTAAGGACGAAGTCGAAAAATTAGCATATCAGATGAACGAAGAGGCAGAGCGTACAGAAAGACCAATCAGGAGATTAAGTAAGGTGATGTACGGTAGCACATGCGCAGATATGCAGGTAGACGTAATGGGGGAGTGTCTGAGTAGTATAAAGCATGTTGTCGGTGTAAGATCAGTATTTCTGGCAAAGAGATTGCACGCCGTATAGCAGTTAAAATCACACCGAGTTGCTGCCTCAGCGAGAAATGGAGAATAATCAATCTTTTAGACGACATCTGGATGCTTTTACCCGAGGTCGAATCATTGGGAAGTTGGAGGAAGGCCGCAGTGTGACAAGTGTGGCTGCAGAGTTCGGAATTGCTCACAGCATCGTTTCACGACTTTGGAGACAATTTCAAACTACAGGAACAGCTATCCGGGGGTTTCGTAGTGGTCGTCTACGAGGAACCACACCCGCAGGTGACCGGTATATTGCCTTACAGGCCGGAAGAAACAGGCGGCAGACAGCGGGAGAAATCGCTAGACACACGACACAGGCGACTGGACGACCGATATCGCGTTTTACCGTGGCCAGAAGACTGCACGGTGGTGATCTGTTTGCACGACGCCCTGTACGATGTGTACCTCTAACGCCTGCCCATCGGAGAAGGCGTTCTCTGTGGTGCCGGGAACACCGGAATTGGAGAGACAATGAATGGGGACGAGTACTCTTTACAGATGAGAGCAGATTCAGTCTGAGTAGCGATTCTTATCGCATACTCATCTGGAGAGAGCGAGGAAGCCGCAATCATCCCTCCAACATCATTGAAAGGGACAGGTATGGAGGTGGCGGTGTTCTCGTTTGGGGAGGCATCATGCTTGGTAGTCGTACAGACCTTCACATTTTCGACGCAGGTTCAGTCAACGGGACCCGTTATTGTAACGAGATTCTTCTTCCATATGTGCGTCTTTTTAGAGGCGCTATGGGTCCGCAGTTCCTTTTCATGGACGACAATGCACCATGTCATCACACAGTAGCTGCCGTACAGCTCTTAGAGAGTGAGGATATTGAACGTATGGATTGGCCGGCACGATCTCCGGATCTCAATCCCATCGAGCATGTATGGAATTTTCTAGGCAGACGCTTGGCAGCTCGTACCTTACCTCCAGTAACGATTCCGGAGCTTCGATTGACGCTGCAAGACGAATGGGCAGCAATGCCTCAACAACTCATTGACACCCTCATTCTCAGCATGGGCAGACGCTGTGAAACCTGCCTAGCAGTCAGGGGAGATTATATCCCCTATTAAAGACCGGATGTTTCTTGCTGGACACCCATCACAGGGATGTTTCGGCCTTCAGTCGCAATGCGCTCCATGCTACTTTTTCAATAAAGCTTCTTTTTATCCCTCTGATTTCTCTTTTAGTAAGTGTTGCTTACATTACTCATGCCCTTACGTATTGGGGATCTTAAGGTGTTAAATGTGTTGATTTGGAAAGCTTTTGTACAAAGTTATATTGAAAAAACTGTCTCGTCCTTAATTTTTGCACACCAGTGTATATAATTATGATTTTCAGGAATAGTCAGAAGTTATATTAGCTAATACCTGATTCAGAGGACAACGTTTACCCTACTGTCATGGTGGTAGGGCCATTGCTTTGGGCCGGAGTTTTGATCTTGGAGAAAGCATGGATGTTTGCAAGTATAAATGGGGCTTTGCTATATTGAAGCATTAATATAATGCCGAGCCGAACGTCGTGTTGAGAGGCTGATGATAAGGGAAAGATGAATAGGAAATCCTAAAATTCATTCCTCCAAAGTCGTTCATCAAAATTGGGACAGAGCCCAAACAAATTCGTATTTTCACCTATAAAGTAACCCAAGTCCTTGGTTAAAGATAGGCGTAACCCTTTTCTTTTTGCCTGTGATTAATTCTAGGACCTGATCTACACTTTTTTTCAGATCAAGAGGATTGATCACAACAACAATAATAGGAGAAAGATAGTACGTATATAACTTGAAACAGGCTAATTCTAGAAGCACCAAAAGACAGAATAATTTTAATCGAATGTATTAACAAAAAAAAATTATCTTCTGAAAAAATGTGTAAACATCCGAAGAAATTGTTTTACAAAGTGTTGAATAACAAATTTTTAAAGGTATAAAAGGAATAAAATTAAATGATCTCCACGAAATTAAACAGACTTCTGAACTTCTTCATGTTTAAAAATCAATAATAATTAAATGAATAGAATCAATATTATAGACTGTTTCAAATAATATAATAAAGACATCATAATGCAAATTTGAAAAAATTCATTCGCTCAGTATTCATTTTCGACACTGTGAAAATGTTACTTTTTGTGTAGATACGATAAGATACAAGTTTTTCGCACTGGGACATAATGGCCTAAAGAAAAACGATGCTATTAATTTTGCATGGAAATATTATTGGGTGCTAACAAACCGAAAGAGAAAATTAGCAATTAATGCATTAAACTAAAATAGCACTCACGTGTATTATAAATAAGATAAATTTGTGATGAGTGTATATTCTATAAACCAGGATCGGCTTTTACTCTTTAGCACCTTGGGAAATACTTTTTTCCAGCACCTCTTTAAAAACAAAAAATAACATGATCATAACGGAATTTTTCGCAAAAATATATGAGCATATGATATGCCTATTTTTATACTGTAAAGACCTTATTTTATTCTAACCAATTATTTTTAGTTCGACTTTCATTTCTTTCTTGATTTCTGCTGGAATGCAAATTTTAATGACGTAGTATGCAAAATCTAAGTGAAAATTTAAAGCTGCGGTTTCAAGATTTCGTCAGGAGTAGAAAGAGAGTTAGTTCCAAATTTATGCTGAGTGTTTCAAATTATCTCTCTAGTTGGTGTTAGATAGATACCCTTCAGATTATATTGATGTTCTAGGCTTGGCTCTGCTGTGTGCGATGCTCGATGCTCTAAAGGGAAAACCTTAATTAATACACCAGCTGCTAAAAAAATCAAACCGAACGAAAAGGATGATGAAATGAAACAACCTGCAGAAAGCGAATAGCAAATGCCCAGAAAAGCAGAGATAACCCAGAGCCGATGGATAGTAATTCAAGAAAATCGCTTTCAATGTCTAGAAGGCACCGGAGCTGAAATTGAAGAAGGATGATCTTCTACAGCGGAGACGCTCCCACTTATTGTAATCCCTTACAAAGCTGTAGATTGGCTAAAACTGGATGAATTATGCAGTGAAGAAGAGCATGAGGCCTGCATGAAATCGAATTCCATACATGTTGTTACTAAAGCAGTAGATGACTACAAACTCGTAACGGAAAAGTTTGAGATGGATGATATCCCATTCCATACATACCAGTTGTGAAGCGAAAAGAATGTATGTGCAATTATGAAAGACATGCCAGAAAATATCACTGAAGCAGCGATATTCGAGGATGAGAGACGCAAATTTCCATCAAAGTGAAGCAGTTCTCACGGACTAGACGAGGAGAAACGGAAAAATTACCGATTTTCTTCTTAACTTAAGAGAAATAAGGCTGGAAATGCGATTTTTGACCTCAACATCATGTTCAGCATAAACATTCGCATAGAAAAATACTCCTCAAGGAAAAGACGAACTCACTGTTACAGATGCCAGACCTACGGCTATACATAATACTTATTTTCCAACCAAGTACGCTGCTGTAAATGCGGAACAAGTGATTGCAGTAAGAAGCCAGATGAAAAATCGACGTGCATTTTCTGTGGGGAAATCCACGACAGCAGTTACACGGTCTGTAAGGAATACCAGAAGAAATTCTCCAAATTTGAAAGAAAACCCGAAGTCCGTAAAGAAAAGCGCCCACTACCTCCCAGCATAAACGAATTCCCGAGTTTGACAAAGCCAGCAGAGAAAGCTAACGAAACTGATCAGCAGGATTCATACATTAAACAATGGAAGGAGCCCAAAAAACAAAACCTCACAAAATTATCTTCAGTATTCAACAATTCGGCAAACTGGATGTTCTATGAAAATATCATCGTCCTCATGGATAAAATTATTCAGGGTATTTCAAAAATTCAGAACGCAAGATCACCGATGGATAAATTGAAAGCTGGTTTTGAAGCAGTAAAGATCTTAGTAACTCTTGCAGAAGGAAAATAGTCATGTGACCTGCAGCACCCCGCCCACAGTGCAATTCTGACTTATAGACTGCTGCATACATTAAGAAAAGGCGACTTTGATTTCCCAGGTTTAATTCTGTGCTCATTTTTATTCTCTTTCTTCCTTTGGACTTGATTTCTACAGCCACTTCTTACGACCAGTAGCAACGACACCCCCGCGCGATAGGAGTACCCAAGGTACTCCTTACTTTCTCTACCAAAGCGATCTGCCTATGGCATCTTGGAATGATTGGTAAAAGCTCTTAGTAGCTGAGGCCAAATGGCGAACGATAGCAATAGCAATAGGCTCTACTGTGTGCAGCCGATTCAGCTGTTTAGATAAGTAAGGAGCCAATCGTTTAGCCATCCTAATTTATTGTGAGTTTACATTTTTATTTTCTGTTCAATTGAGTTTAGCCACAAGTGGTGGTGAACTGTGAGCACCGAGTGCGTGCATCTTG